GGTCTCCTTCCATTTTTGGTGGGGCCAGTGCCACCTTCGATCTCTCTGGGGATTAAAGATCAAAACGATGCACAACTGTTAGGATGGCAGTTTTCAAAAACACACAAGTGGGGGGAACCAGCAGTTAGCATAATGGCTATGTTGCTGGACTCCCACGTAGTTGACCGCGGTTCACGTCCCAGACCCGGTGGCTTAAAACTCATGCCGGGCGCGTGTGTGTGCGTGCCCAAGATCCCGAGAGGAGAATGGAGGAGAAGGGATTGCGGTGTGACCATCCCCCCTGGGGGGTGATTTCTCGCTTTCTGTCTCTATGTCTCTCTTTGTCTGTCTGGTGAGCGCACACGCCCTATAGTGAAAAAAAAACTCTCAAACAAACAAACAAACAAGCAAACAAAAAACACACAAGTGGGCTAGCAGGTGATGTAGTGGTTAAGGTGCTGGACTGCCCCGTGGCCAACCGTGGTTCGAGTATCAGACCCAGTGGCTTGAATCTCACACCAGGCGTGTGTACATGCATGTCCAAAATCCCAAGAGGAGAATGGAGAAGAAGAGATTACAGCATGACCATCCCACCGAGAGGGTGATTCCTTTCTTTCTGTCTGTCTCTCCAGTGAGCAAAAGCTCTTTATAGCAAAAGTCTCTTAAAAAAAAAAAAAACCAAGTGTGGGTGTGGATGTGGAGACACTTGAACCCTTGTGCGCTGTTGATGAGAATATGAAACATGCAGCCGCCATGAAAAACAGTACGGCAGATCCTCAGAAATTTTAAATTAGAATATTTTTACAAGAATTATACTGTTTCTTTTGTTTATTATTATTTTAAAATTTGCTATAAGGCATGTGTGCTCACCAGAGAGAGACAGAGAGAGATAGAGAGAGAGGAAAAGTGAGAAAGCAAGTTGCCAGGTCTAGGACTCGAACTATGGTCAGTCATGTGGGAGTCTAGCAACTTAACCACCACACCAGCTGCTGGCACCATAAATTAGAATTATTATGTAATCCAGCAACATTCCTGAAAATATTTACTCAAAATAATTGAAATCAGAAACTCAAAGAGATCTTTGCACTCCTGTGCTCCGGGCAGCATCATTCACGGTAGCCAAGGGATACAAACAACCTACATGTCCATGATGGGTGGATAAAGAAGAGGGGTGCGTACGCACACATGGAGTATTATTCAGCCTTAAAGGGGAAGAAGTCCTGCAAGATGGGCCAGTGTAGATGAACCTCGAGGACATGCTCAGTGAAATAAGCCAGTCAGAGAAGGACAAATACTACCTGATTCCACTTATATGAGATATCAGAAACCATCGGATTCACTAAAGCAAAGATCAGACTGCTGCTTGCTAGAGGCTGGGGGAGTGCAGAGGACAAAGTTCCAGTCACGGAAGGTGAGTAAGTTCCGAGGTCTGCTGTACAGAGCTCTGCAGGCACCTGTAATTACCACTACTGTATTGTACATTGAAAGTCTGGGAAGAGGGCAGAGTTCACATTAAGTGTGCTTACCAAAATAAATAAACGAATATATAGTAAAACTGTAAGGTTTGGGTCAGCAGGTGGCATGTGGTTAAGGCGCTGGACTCCCACATGGCCAACCACAGTTCAAATCCTGGAACTGGCGGCTTGCTTTCTCATTTTCCCTCTCTCTCCTCCTGTTTCTATCTAGTGAGCGTACATGTCTAATAGCAAAATTAAAAAAATAATAATAATGGGGCCAGCAGTTGGCATAATGGCTATGTCGCTGGACTCCCATGTAGTACGCAGTTTGAGTCTCAGACCTGGTGGCTTAAACTCATGCCACCCAAGATCCTGAGAGGAGAATGGAGGAGAAGGGATTGCAGCATGGCCATCCCCCCTGGGGGGTGATTTCTCATTTTCTGTCTCTCTGTCTTTCTGGCAAGTGCATGCGCCCTGTAGCCAATAAATAAATTAATTAATTAATTAATTAATTAAATTAATTTTTTTTTAATTTTAAAAAGAAATAAAAAGAAATCGACAAGATTTAGGCCAAGGAGGGGATAAGCAGACATTTCATTTTATGCTTCGGTGTAACAGTGAGAGGCCAACTTGAAAACCAAAGATGACTGAGTTAGCGCAGGAACCAGTCAGATGTCCCTGTTCAATGCTACAAAAGCTAGCCCTGAAAACAGGCCAGAAAGGGGTTTTCAATGTCTATTCTTGTAATTCTCTTTCCAGATGATCTGAATGTCTAAAAGGTACTTCTAACCTTTCTTACACACCTTTCCTTATCACTCCCACAGAGGTTTCACCCTGAAAAGGAGAACTGTCTGAATTTAGAAGTGCAATACTCAGCAGCTTTCTTGACAATGGTGTGAGATGAAAGAGAGAAAACTTGAGCCTCGTTCTCACTCTCCTTATCAGATTCCCCAGTTAGAGTCAACATGACAATGTGGTTAAAGGCCCTGAGAGTGTCTGTCTGGCAAATGAGACCAGGTAGAACTAGTGCCAAAATAAAACTTGATCTTTGAAACTAAGAATTGTGTAGAAAGAAGATAAAACGAACCTAATATTCGTTGAGAATCTACCAGATACCAGTCACTTTTTCACATTAATTCACTGAGTCTTCATAACAATTCTATAAGAACAGCATTTTGTAGGTGGGGAAACTGAGGCCCAGTGAGATTACATGACTTACTCAAAGTTACATGGCTACAAAACAACTAAGCAAATATCCAGACTGTGCTCTTTCTACAAAACCACTGCCTTATTGGAAATGCAGAATTAAGTTCCCGACATGAAATCCTGGATATACCACATTATGTGGGTTAAAAGTTAATTGTGGCTCAAAATGACAAAGGGATGTTGCTGTGTGTGCATCTTAGGTGGAGCGGCGACTCTCACAACTCCAGGGAGCATCACTCACTCTGTGTCCCATGGAGCTGACACCTACCCAAAACTAAAAATAAAAAATAAGAGAAGACACCCTCTTTGAGTGGTGCCACAGGGCAGAATGGCCCAGACCACATTAATTGGTGGAGAGTTACCTGCACTGCCCCAATTCCATCACCCACGTTGACCAGGACGTTGCCACCTGGAGACTCCCTGGACAAGACACCAGCGATCACTGCAGGGTCCATGCAGTACTTCTGGCCAACCGTGCGGATCACGGGCTGGAACCTCAGTAGGTATGGCATGTCGATCTCAGCCAGCCTTTCTGAAGCACGAACTCCTAATGCGAACACAGGGGAAGGTGAGGCCTGGCGTGACTGACGTTTAAACAGGAGCTCGAGGAGAGAGGATGTGCATGCTAAGGATTTGGGTAGCAGTCTAGAACTGAGACGCCTGTAGCGGGCGTTCCTGGACCTCAGATTAGAACTCTCCTTCAGCATCCCCTGAGGCAAATGTCCTCTCATGGACTGGGGTTTCCCTCCGCTGGGCCCTCAGGGGCTGCTCTGGCCCACCCAGGATGATCCTATGGGCATCGGCCCCAGAGGCCTCACCCACACAGACAGGGCTACCTGGTGAATGTATCTGCCCATCAGCTACAAGGGGCACAGGATGTGAAGGAGAATTCTCTCAAACCCTTCAGTAAGTCCTGGAGAGATTCGTTCAGTGAGTTTGCTCGTAATTCCCCACCTTTCCACTCCCAAATGGCTCCAGAGAAAGTTAGACTTTCACATGACTCCCACTTGAGTTTAGACCTTTATGAAATAACAAGAATGCCGGGCAAAATGAAAACCAACACTAATTTACCTAGCTAACTTTAGCGTATAAGCACTTTTTAAAAAGTTTATTCATCTCTCTTCTTCAGAGAGAAACACTTTCTCCTGTCTTAGCCAATCTGGGTCACAGGCACACACGTGGTGTGCTCAGAGTGGAATCCCAGGACACAAACCCAGGACCTTTGCTGTGTGGGTCTGGTTGCATTGCTGCTATGCCACCGCCTGGCCCTAAGCACTTTCATGGTCAAAAAGTGTTCTCAGTCCAGCCAGTCACATGGTGGTTAAGGCCTCTGGATCCCACATGGACAACCCTGCAGTTGGAGTTTCAGACCGGGGTGGGCTTGAAAAACATACTGGGCACCTGTGTGTGCATGCCCCAAATCCTGAAAGCAGAGATGGAGAAGGGAGGCCTGGCCCTCCCCCATGGGGTACTGTCCCACTTCCTCTCGCTCTCCTCTCTCTCTTTCTTTCAGGCGAGTGCTTGTGTCCTCTAGCAAACTGAAAAGCAAAAACAAAAGACAAAGAAAGAAAAGCACTCTCATCCCATGATATCTGTCCGAATTGACAACAGTGTAAGTAGATACTGTTCTCTCTCTTTCATCAGAGACTCAGAGAAGCTAAGTACTTGCTGGAGGAAAAGAACCAGGGCTCTACTAAGGGCACCACATCCAGTGCTCTTTCCGGACTCTGCAGCGTGGAGCTGTGGGAACAGTGGGACCAAGAGGACATGCTGCCAGGGCAAGAGTGGGTGGGGGTGTGACTTACCACAGTAGTTCAGGCCATGGCGCCTCCCAATCATACAGGACGCTCCAGGGGTGTCCACCGTCCGGATGTTTCCATAGCATCCCCAGTTGCTGCTTTCAGATGAGCCTGTAAATTGAGAAAAGTCAACCAAAGGCATCAAACTAGAAGCGTTTAGATGGTTCTTCTGTCTATAAATAAGATGACATTAATAAAAGTAACTAATACAATCAGCATTGAGAACTTCACTCTTCAATTGAAACTCATTTGAAATGTAAATTAACAGTATACTAAGAAATTACCACAGAAAACCACTTTGATACTAAGTTCTCACCTCCTATCCTGGAGATATGAGGGACTATTGGAGGAGTTACACTCTGCAAAGCTCAGAGCAGGCGATGCCATCTTGGAATCCAATCAGAGATTATCTGCACCCTATAAACTGGTCCTTATCTTATATCTTAGGCCAACTGTCGGCACTTTTTCCTGAAATACTTCTGACTTGTGGCTCTGAGAGAGGCATTGATGTTTGCTCAAAGAAACCCACGTAAAGTTGGGTCTCCTTGGGATTTGAACCCAGCTCCATAGTAGAGGCATTGCTTGTAAGCTGAGGGTTGGGGTCAGCTTCATCTTCTCTGGGGTGCACTGCTAGGCAGGGGCCTAAGGTTCCTTTTCTCTGTTTGCCCTTCTCGTTTCTCTGTGCCCACCACTGTCACTCCAATTGCCACTGAAGGGGAAGAGTGATTTTAGACACTATTGAGATTCCACAAAAACCACCGAAGAGAGGACATTTCTTCTCTTACACCAGCAGGAAGTGCTTAGGTATGTGTAATACATCTATAATTCTTACCAGCAGGAGGGTACTTAGGTGTGTGTAATACAGCTATAATTCTCACCAGCAGGAGGGTGCAGAGGTACTTACAATGTATCTGTAATTCTCTAGTAGGAGAATTCAATGGTATTTCTAATATATCTGCAGTTCACACCAGCAAGAGTGTGGTGCATGACCGAGGAACACGACACCTACTGAGGGCAGGAAACTGCTCCTTGTGAGAATCGTTTCACCATGGTAAGCCTGTAAGAACTCATTAGATTACTCTTTTTGATTTATTTTATTCTTTGACTAAAGTAGATTATATCATCAAATCTTGATGATTTGCAGATCTTTGGAAATATATCATCAATATGTATTCTATATGCGTATATAAATGCATTTCATGGTTCTAAGAGCTTCACAGGGATTGACTGACATCTGAAAATACTGGTATTTTAGAGTAAATACTTATACTTTACAAACTTTTAAAAAATTTTATTACCCCATGAAAGAGAGAAACAAAGAGACAGAGAGACAGCACCTCTGAAAGGGTCTTGATGCCACGATCCAACCCCAGCCTCAGTCAGCCCCAACTCATGTGTGCCCGACATGCTCAGGGAAGCCTCTGGAGGTGAACTCAGAACGTTTCCATGTGCGTCAGTCCCCCAGAGCCCTCCTAACAAATTTTCAATGAGTAATCTAAGAGCAATGTGACAATGAAAAGACCTGATCTTCTTGTGCATATATTAAAAATTGAACATGTGTTCTTTTTACATTTTAAAAATCAGTTATCTTTATAGATATTATTTATCACTGTTACCTTTATGACTGGTGACAAATACCCTCACTACTGCAGTTGGCTGTGTCACTCATTGCTTCCTGCCTGTGGATGCTAACCACCTTATAGGTGGGGCCTTCAAAAAGTTCGTGAAAAAATGGATACTATGCACAAACTATGCACAGAGTTCATACACACAGATTTCAGTTTTTCTGGACCAAAGTGAACTTATACTTTAATTCCACTTTCTGTGAGCGTTTTTTTTTTTTTTTCTTTTTAGGTTTTTGCCATAAATTGCGTGTGTTTGCTAGAGAGAGAAAGAGAGAAAGAAAGTGAGAAAACACCCCCAGAGGGATGGCCACGCCACAATCCCTTCTTCTCCATTCTCCTCTTGGCATTTTGGGCATGCATGTACACGACCAGTGTGATTTTCAAGCTACTGGGTCTGGTACTCAAACCAGTCAGCCATGTGGAAGTCCAGCACCTTCACCACCACACCACCTGCTGGCCCCGCCATGAGCTTTGTGATGTCCACTTGTGTGATTCTCAAAGTCACTTCTATCTCCAATGCTTAGCACCTTGCAGGGCTTTAACAGTCTTTGAATGAATGGGTTAATAAATACTTACATGAGAATATTTTTTAAATTTAAAACCAGAAACATTTTGCTTCTACTGAGGAACTATGCTTTCTCCTTTTATTTATCAAAAAACAGGTCCTTTCTCATTTTGCTCCAGTTGCAGGGACCAAAGTCCTTAGGGACCAAAGCTGAAGTTTAGTCATTGCAACTCTGTGAGCCTCCACGGTGAGCTTAGTCATATCTTTTTACTTTTTTAAAAGTTTATTCATTCCTCGGGACCAGCAGTTAGCATAATGGCTATGTCACTGGACTCCCATGTAGTCGACCGCAGTTCGTGTCCCGGACCCGGTGGCTTAAAACTCACGCCGGGCGCGTGTGTGTGCGTGCCCAAGATCCTGAGAGGAGAATGGAGGAGAAGGGATTGCGGCGTGACCATCCCCCCTGGGGGGTGATTTCTCGCTTTCTGTCTCTCTGTCTCTCTCTGTCTGTCTGGCGAGCGCACGTGCCCTATAGCAAAAAACAAAACAAAACAAAACAAAACACCTCTTCAAAGAAAAAAAGAGTTTATTCATTCCTTGAGTGAGAGACACAGAGAGAGAGAGAGTCAGAAATGCAGCACCCTCAACATGGTCCAGACCCAGGGATCTACCCGCTGGAAAAATGAGCCATGCTTACCAGTCAGGGCGAGGAGGCCCAGAAGCAGCCACAATGCAGACATATCAACAGCTTGGCTCCACAGCTCCTGAAATGCTTTTTAAAGTAAAATTAGCTTCAAGATGTGAAAATGTGAGTTACCATAACAATATACTGTATAATGTTTCCATGGAGGGGTGGGGCAAAAGAAATGTTTCCTCTTTTCCAAACCAAGAAAATTAATGATCTGAATCAGAGTGAGAAAAACACAAGTAAAACAATTGCTCCATCTAGTCTTTCCACTGAAAAATCAAGAGATTTCTGCTCAGTCCACAGGGACTCAACGTTGGTGAAGTCACTGGACATGAACCATTTAAGAACACTAAGAATCGCAGTGAACTGATTCTGGGCAGTCAGCACAGGCAGATGTGTGGTGCACGTGCCTTACCCCAAGGGCCTTGTACCAAAAGATAATATGCAAAGGAGAATTTTGTGTTGGTGAAATCTCCGAATTTGGGTTCTGTTTTCCTTAGGTTTCACTCTTCTCAGTGCCTTGGAACACATTCCAATTCTATGCTTTGGAGGGAGAAAAGATCTGGAAGACATTACCAACTCCTATCATCCTCCAGACTGGTAATGCCGGAGCCTTTTGGCCACCTTAGCAATGCTCTCCATTGTCCCTTTACTTATTTATTTATTTAGCCATAGGGCACGTGTGCTTGCAGGAGAGAGAGACAGAGACGGTGAGAGGGAAATTGAGAAATCACCCCCTTGGAGAGATGGCTATGCCGCAATCCCTTGTCCTCTATTCTCCTCTTAGGATTTTGGTCATGTATTCTCCGTTTTCCTCTTGGGGTTTTTTGGGCATATGCACACACATGCCCGACATGATTTTCAAGCCACCTGGTCCACAATTCAAACCACGGTTAGCCATGTGAGCGTCCAACACCTTAACCACTAGACCACCTGCTAGTCCCTCCCAATGTCCCTTTATAAAACTGCTGTGTGGGGCACCAGCAGTTGGCATAGTGGCTATGTCACTGGACTCCCACGTAGTCAACCGTGGTTTGAGTCCTGGACCCAGTGGCTGAAATTCACACCAGGTGCATGTGTATGCATGCCCAAGATCCCAAGACGAGAATGGAGAAGGAATCGCAGTGTGGCCATCCCCCCTGGGGAGTGATTTCTCACTTTCTGTCTCTCTGACTCTCTGTCTTTCTGGCAAGTGCACATGCCCTGTAGCAAAAACTTCTCGAAAAAATAAAAAACAAGAACCTGTTGTGTGGGGACAAACCTGGGCCAGAGCTGTGGGAGGATGGACGGACAGGCTACTTCCACCAGCAAAGACACACCCCCCATGAGGTTGGTCCTGGGAAGGAGTAATGTGCAGGGGTCTCAGGAGTGAACTAACAAGAGGAGCTCACTGAACCAGAGAACTGACAGCCAGGTGCCATCAAGCCCTTGCTCACACTCTTCCTCATCCCAGCTGTTCTTGTAATCATCATCCACAGAAACACACAGCCTTGATTCCCCCGTTAGCTATCAAACCAATACCCAGACATCACCCAGAATGGTTTTCAGTTGATCCCCGAAATGCTGGAGGAGCCAGCCACCTGCCCACGAAGCCCAAATCTCCCACCAGTCCCTCCCACTGCAGGGTGTTTCCCCTCTTCTCCTTTGGTCAGCTGAGACTGAAGATCTAATCTTTTATTAAAAAAAAAATTGCCAGAGTGCATGTGCACTCATCAGGGAGAGAGGAAGAGGAAGAGAAGGAGGAGAACACACCCTTCAATGAGGCATAATCACACTGCAATCTTTTCTCCTCCATTTCTCCATCCTTTTGGGATTTGGGACATACATCCTGTGTGTGTTCCAAGACACTGGGTCAGGAATTTGAACTGCATAGTCAGCCATGTGGGATCTGGCTCCTTTAACCACTAGACTGGGAGGCCAGCCGAGACCTAGCACTTACGATTATTACTATCATTACATGTAAGAGTGAGCATACAAATGTGGCACTTGGCACTTTTATCATTCTCTCATCTTTTGTTTTAAGATTACTCTTATGGGCGCCTGAAGGTGGAGAAGCATTAGGAAATTATTTGAATTCTGTCTTACTCTGAGGGGGCATGTACCCCTCAGACAAAACCATACTTCTTGTCTTTCTTCCCTACAATATGAAAAAGGTCTGATTTCATTGAGTTGATCAGAAATTGTCACGCTCACTTCCAAGACCAAAAAGGTACAAGAAGTTGGGATTTTAGCTGGATCTGCAGAATTCTCAAATTTAATTACCTAATAGGATCATTTCTTTACACCTCTGAACTCCCAGCACTGAATGAGAGAGGACAGTCAGTCTCAGGAAACAGTGGAGAAAGAGCTGATTGGGAATGTTCATGAGTTTAAGAAAGTGACCCTGTCTGATTATTTTCCAGTTTGCTTATTTATATCTTCCATAAAACAGAGAGAAGGCTGATGAATACCTCTTACAGGTCTTCATGAATTGATTCAACCTCCAGCCTCAGCCAACCAGATCGTGGGCACAGGGAGACCTCAAGACACAAGCCCTGGGTCTCCCCGTATTGTTGTGGTCTCCCCGTATGGTTTCGGCATTGCAAAGCATTGAGTTTCTGCCATGTTACCGCGGCTGGTCCAAAAATGTGTCTTTACAGGAGCTTCTCGCTGGCTTTATCAAAGAACTCTTCAGAAAAATAAGGTTTTTTTTTCTTCTCTCATTCAAATGCTAAATAAACCTAGGGAAGAGGTACTTCACTCTTTTTGCTGCTTTTCCAGGGAAGAAAAATACTTCCTCTTAGGAAACCAAGTAGAATTTAATGCAATATGAGAACTACCTCCTACTCCAAGCATGAAACGAAATATCTGTTTTGAGCAAGCACTTCCGTGAAAAGCATTAATATACACATGCATGCCAATTACTCAGGAATGCACAGTTACTTTCTGATTGCTGCTGAGACCAGGTCTTTAATTTTTGGGGGGCTACATCGGGGAAGAGCAAGAAGTGACAATGGCCTTCTTCATGAATGGACAGCGTGTTCTGTTCACAAACACTGCATGTCGAAGCAGCCCACACTCCGAGGCCCAACTTTACAGGTGCCGAAAAGTACCCTGTGTTTAAGGAGGAATTGCAGCATCACTGGGGTGTGCTCGAGGAGTGCCATCGGTTACCTGTGACTCGGGAGCCCCAGGGCTCCCTGTCAGGAAGACCAACAGTGGTCACGAGCCAAGCATCATATCGCAGTGGTGTCCCTCTTCTCCCTTCTTGGAGAGCAAAACAACAAAACAGCTAGGGGCTCTTGGCAGGCTGGAGTAACAGGGCTGCCCCCCTCCCTGGAAACTGACAGCCAGAGCATCCTTCAGGCTGGTTCTAGTCCCTGATAGATTCAATCAGGATGTCTTCCACTGTCTATACTCCCTCCAAGGGGTACTCTGTATTCCCAAAGCATTGTTCACATGTGTAAGGCATGATGAACCAGTTTAATGTCGGCTCAAAGATTTTTCTGAAAAAGATTGAAGTAAGGGTCTTTGATCTTCGTAATTCTCTCACCAAAGTAAGAGTCTTTGATCTTTGTAGTTCTCTCACCAAAGAACTCGTCTTTCTTCCCATGAATACTCTTCATCTTCATCTTAGCATTCCAGGCCCTCAGGACCCTCAGCCACCTTGGAAATGTGCTGTATGAACACCCGGATGTGCTGAGAGATGAAGGTGGCCTTGCCCCATCGTGGTCCCGGAAGAACTGAAAACTGCTCTGTGCATGAAGTTTGGTGTCTCAGTCTCCAAGCTGTGTTGTCACCCTTGTGCTGGAAACTTGTCTCGGCATCTGCCTGCTCCCTGTGGACTGACAGGCCTTTCTAGGAGCATCCTTAGTCATGGTGTCCCGTCCTTACACACACACACAGAAACACTCCAGCCCCCCTGCCTCACAGATTAACAGGACTTCAATTAAAATAACAATAGCAAGACAGTCACAGATATAAAATGCTCCCACCACTAACATCACATTTTCTTAAGAAAAATCTAAATTTTAAGAGCAATACTATTGTATAAAGCAACAACATGATGGGGTCAACTGTCACTTTTTGCAGAGCTGCATTTTCACATGGTCTGTGAAAAGTATATGCTGAATTTGGGTGGTGTGCAATGATCATCAGCCTGGAAGAACTCAGAAAGTCTGATCATTTCTCTTCCCTCTCTGCAAGCAAACCCTTTTCCTGCTGGACGAGTCTGCCCTGAAAGGCAGTTCCTTCTCTCAGTGGGTCTCTGTGCCTGCTTTCCTCACGTTGAACCCCAGAGCTGAGACTCCTGGAAAGCTCTTTTCCTCGTGCTAAAGACTCTCCCGGGAGTATCCCATTCTGTACAAGGATCGGATCAGAGACCTTGCCCATAGACTCTTGAACGAGTCTCTTTTTATTCTCAGTTACAACATAAGCTGTTAGAGTTCTTTGCTCTGTTATCACTTCCAGAGCAAACAAGACGCTCTAGGGACATCACTGAAGGTTTGTGGGTAATGTAACATTGGCAAGACTGAGCACGAGGGTGGGGAAGAAATGTACCATCGAGCAAAACATAAACACCTTAGTCCTCTGACTTTGAATCAACAAGAAGCCATTCCATTTGGCCTAAACACACACACATTTCTGTTCTTACATTCTTTGGTTTGCACATGCTTACAACTCCAAAAGTCACTATGTACTTGCATGAGAAGAAATTGAAATTGTTCTAAGTATTGGAACGAATGAGGAAAAAAATCCTATTATATACATGTCTTTTAAAACTTGGGTTTTCTTTGCAAGATCTTTGAAAATTTCATCTGACTCCAACCTTTCTTTTTACTCAGCACCAGAGACACAGTCATTACCAATGATCACCATCCACTGAATTTCTCATCCTAAATAAACCCGAGTGTAAGTTCCACGCCGGGTTCACACTCACCTGTCTTCTGTTACTTCTTGTCCTTGGAAGTAGAGAATGCACAGTGCTTTATATATAGAGACACCCTGTGCTGCTTCCTCTTCTTAAAAGTGTTGACCTCATCGTATTACGAAGAAATTTATGGAAAATCTCATAACGTATAATAATAATCATAATAATTACAAAT